TACAGTATTACAGTATTTTTACCACCATTGAGCTATAATCGATGGGCAGGCCCCTATTGGGCAACCTATGAGCGAGCCCAGGATGGTCGAGATACACAGCCTAGTATGGTCGAGCACCTATGAGCGAGCCTAAAACGGCCGAGGAGTTACACGTACCAAGCCTTATAGGGCCGGACATTTATTTTACTTACTATATTGAAGGAGCTGAGTCAGTATCAGCAGGTAAGTATATCTCTAGATCATCTTTGACTCCCAGTTACTTTCATGCATTATATTATTAGTTCAGTTTCAGCTTTCAGTTATTTTATTGCCTTACATACTCGGTACATTATTTTGTACTGACGTCCCTTTTCTGGGGATGCTGCATTTCATGTGTGCAGGTTCAGATAGACAGACGGGTAGACCTCCTCAATAGGTGTTGCCCGAGTTCAACCTGATCGGTAAGCTCCATGTCCTTCAGAGTTACCGGGTCTAGGGTTTTGTGTATATAAGTTATGGGTAGGTCGGGGCCCTTTTCCAATCACTGTACATCCATCAGTAGAGGCTTGTAGACATATCCTGTCAGTTAGTGCAGCATGTTGGGCTTGTAGGCTTTGTATGTATATTTTGTTGGTTTGTCAGATGTAGTAGTTATGACGTCCTTGTTAGCCCATCTTTATATTGATGTTTAGTTAAAGCTAGTTTCTGTTCTGTTTTATATTTTGCTTCGCAAATTGTCTTGGAATGTGGCCCCATGGCCAAAGTATGACATTGTATGTCCAGAGTCCCCCAATCACAAGTTGGTATGCTATGTTAAGTGAGGCACCGGGTGCCGTTCTCGCCCCCAGGTTCGGGGTATGACATAGGCGGGTAAAATATATATNTCATTGCAAATACACGTGGCAAGTTCTATACATCAAATGCAATCCATAGAATGAAACACAAACCTCACACACACATGGCACATAACTCACTCAGGATTGGACTCGTCAAGACACTCTAGTCAAAGCAGTTAAGCAAAGTTAAGATCATACAATTTAAGGTTCTTATACAAGAGTCAAAAACTGAGCCTAAGTGTCACAACCAAAGTACTCACTATTCTCAAGGCATAACAAAGTCAAGAGATATTGCTTCAATTCCAATCACAACACAATGGGTCCTACTCCTTAAAAAAAATACAACTAACTACACCTGGTTCAAACAAAACCCTTGGAAAAGAACTGCGGCACAAAGAAAAACCAAGAGGTAATTATTACACTGCCTAACAAAAGAAAATCTTTTTGTCTTTCTTCTTTCGACTTAAATCCCCCAACAAACCTGTCGAATGAGATCCATCATCGGGAGAAGTCTAAGAAGTTAACATTTTTATAACACACTACTAATTATCTAGAGAAATTCTCTCACCTCATACTTAAAAGAGTGCAGTGTCCCCAATGCACAAATAAAGCAAAACACAAGCGAGGGTGGACAAGAGACTTCCTGAAAGGCCAAAGGCCGAAGCAATATCGGCTCACGGGATACTTAGACTTTCCCCAGGCATGATCCTTTGTCTGGGCACCCCACACTTAGTTCTCACCATCTAGCTCGCTTTTGCACTCTTCCAATGGCTTTTCTTCTTATGCTTATAATCCTACAAAATAAAAACAGACACTACAAAAATAATATAATAAAAATAAAAATAAAAGAAAGCAGTAAAGCTGGGTTGCCTCCCAACAAGTGCCTGATTTAATGTCGCGGCATGACACAGCATCTCGTCTAATCATTGCCAAGTAACACCCTCGACTTTTGATGATCAAAGTCACCTCCATAATAGTGCTTTACTCTTTGTCCGTTCACTAAGAACGTTCTCTCGCCACCTAAGACACGTAGCTCAATTACACCATGTGGAGTGACTCTCACTACCTCAAACGGGCCCGACCATCTCGATTTGAGCTTCCCCGGAAAGAGTCTCAACCTCAAATTGAACAAGAGAACCAATTGGCCCGGTTTGAACTCTCGATGATGGATATGCTAATCATGCCAGTGCTTGGTCTTTTCTTTATATAACATGGCATTCTCATACCCGTGCAAGTGAAAATCATCAAGCTCGTTCAATTGCATCAACTATTTTCTGCCTGCTAATTCTGCATCAAAGTTCAGCTTCTTTATCACCCAATAGGCCTTGTGCTCAAGTTCCACCGGTAAATGGCATGCCTTCCCATAAACCAGCTTGTACGGGGAGGTTTCGATTGGAGTTTTGTAGTTGGTCCGGTAAGCCCATAGAGCATCATTAAGATTTGCAGCCCAATCTTTCCTACTTGCACTAACCGTCTTCTCCAGGATCTTCTTTATCTCTCTATTTTACACTTCAACTTGTCCACTAGTCTGAGGATGGTAAGTGGTTGAAACCTTATGTTTGACTCCATATTTCGCTAAGACATTGTCCATTAGCTTGTTACAGAAATGGGCCCCCCATCACTTATCATCACTCTCGGGGTGCCGAACCTTGTAAAGATATGCTTTTTCACAAAGTTGACCATAACCTAGGCATCATTGGTAGGAAGAGCAATGGCCTCCACCCACTTCGACACATAAACAACGGCCACCAAAATGTACTTACACCCACTAGACGAGGGAAACGGACCCATAAAATCAATTCCCCACACATCAAAGATTTCAACCTCCATAATACCATGCAATGGCATCTCATGCATTTTCGTAATTTATCCCGTTCTCTGGCACCTATCACACCTCCTCATGAACTCATGGTCATCTTTAAACAACCTAGGCCAATACAAACCCGATTGCAACACCTTGGCTGCCGTTTTTTCACTCGCATGATGACCACCAAAAGGCGATGAATGACAGTCATATAAGATAGCATTTATTTCAGATTCTGGCACACATCTTCTCATTAACTGATCAAAACAAGAATTGAACAGAAATGACTCATCCCACACATATGATCTCATATCTCGCAAGAACTTCTTTTTAGCATGAGATTCAACATCAGGCGGCATTTCTCCCCTTGCTAGATAGTTTACAAAATCTGCATACCATGGCACCTCCCCAGCAGTAATGGCCAACAATTTCTCATTTGGGAATGTTTCCTTGATGACATCTCCGTCGGCTACATGATTCTGAGTTTCTAACCTTGACAAGTGATCAGCCACTTGATTCTCTGTTCCTTAACGGTCTCGGATCTCCAAGTCAAATTCCTGCAAGAGTAAAACCCAACAGATTAGCCTTCGTTTAGCATCTTTCTTTTCAAAGAAATACCTGATGGCTGCATGGTCTGTGTAGACGATGACTTTGGTGCCAACCAATTAGGCCCAAAATTTATCGAATGCCCACACTACAACAAGCAACTCCTTTTCTATCACAGTATAATTTATTTGAGTAGGAGTGAGAGTCTTGCTTGCATAGTAAATGGAGTGGAATATTTTGCTCCTCCTCTGGCCCAATACAGCCCCAATTGCACCATCACAAGCGTCATACATCAGCTCAAATGGATCTTTCCAGTCAGGAGCCACTATGATTGGTGCACTCACTAACTTCTTTTTCAGCTCCTCGAATGCTTTAATACAAGCATCGTCAAACTTGAACGACACATCCTTCTCTAACTACATGCACAAAAGAGAGGAAATATTTGAGAAATCCTTTATAAATCGGCGATAAAAACCTACATGTCCCAGAAAACTCCTAACTCCTTTCACTGAAATCGGTGGTGGAAACTTTTCAATTGCTTCCACCTTAGCCTTGTCAACTTCCAGTCCATCTTTGGACACTTTGTGCCCCAGCACTATACCTTCACGTACCATAAAATGCACTTTTACCAATTTAGTACCAGATTAGTCTCCCCGCACCTAGCAAGCACTTTAGCAAGATTAGTCAAGCATTCATCTAATGAAGGACCAAACACAGAAAAATCATTCATAAAGACCTCCACAAACCGTTCCATCATATCGGTGAAAATAGCCATCATATAACTTTGAAAAGTCGCAGGTGCATTACACAACCCGAATGGCATTCTCTTAAATGCATACGTGCCATAAAGGCATGTAAAATTGGTCTTTTCTTGATCTTACGGGGCAATAGCAATCTGATTATACCCCGAATAGCCATCAAGGAAACAATAGTATTCCTGCCCGGCTAACCTGTCAAGCATTTGATCAATGAAGGGGAGAAGGAAGTGATCTTTACGTGTAGCATTATTCAACTTCCTATAATCTATGCATATTTGCCAACCAGTCACCGTCCTAGTTGGGATTAATTCATTTTGTTCATTCACTACAATAGTCATACCCTCCCCCCTTTTTAGGTACACATTAAACATGGCTTACCCACTTACTGTCGGATATAGGAAATATTATACCTCTATCGAGCCACTTAATCACTTTTTTTCTTACCACCTCTATCATGATTGGATTTAGGTGGCGTTGATGTTCCAAACTAGGCTTGTGTCCCTCCTTTATGAGTATTTTGTGCATGCTGAATGTAGGTCTAATACCCTTTATGTCAGACATTGTCCAACCAATGGCATGCTTGTGCTCCCTCAGCACCCTTAAGAGCTTTTCTTCCTGTAATTCAACAAATGAGAAGAAACTATCACAGGTAAAGTGTTAGAACTTCCCAGATATGCATAATGAAGATGAGATGGTAAGGGATTAAGTTCCACTTTTGAGGCCTCCTCAACTGAGGGTAGGGGGCGGGCCGATTGGCCTATCAAGAGGCTCAAGCTGGGATCCTTCTCTTATGTATTCGCAAGATGCATCCAGAATTTGCAACATCTCCTAAACCGCTTCTTCAAGTTCCAAGTGATTGAACAACATCAATGTCTTTTCTAGTGCATCTTCTTTAAACGCACTTGGCTCTACGGCTAGTTCATTTATCTCCACCACAGTAATCATGGCTAGGTCCTCGTAATGACGAGGCAACTGAATAGCTCGATATATATTGAAGACTGCTTCTTCATTGTCCATCCTAAGGATCATCTTACCTTCTCAGACTTTGATAATTGCATCTCTAGTGGCAAAAAGAGGTCACCCCAAGATGTTAGGAATTAACTCATCAGCCACGTAGTCCAGGATGATAAAATCTGCAGGGAAAATAAACTTCCCGATTTGCAGTAAGACGTCCTCAATTACCCCCTCAGGATAAACATAAGATATATCAGCTAACGGTAGCATCATCGTGGTGGGTCTCGGAGCTCTTAAGCCCAATTGTTGGAATAATGACAACGGCATCAGATTGATACTTGCACCCAAATCACAAAAGGCTGTACCCACATCAATTTCACCAATCCTCATGGGGATGGTAAAACTAGTCGGATCCTTAAGGTTTTGTGGAAGCTTTTGTTGAATCCTGGAAGTGCACTCCACAGTAAGTGCGACGGTCTCGAACTCAGTTAACCTCCTTTTGTTTGCCACTATATCCTTAATATATTTTGCATATTTTGGGACCTCACGGAGCATGTCCACCAAAGGGATGTTCAAATGTATCTACTTCAGCATATCTAGGAATTTGTGAAACATGTGGTCATCATTCTTCTTTCTCAATCTTTGAGGAAAGAGGGGTGGCACCCTCTCTGATATGTGCTCATACTCTGTTTTGTTTCTCTCATCTACCTCTACAAGTTTTGACACTCTTTCTTCTTCCAGCCCAGACTGCTCCTTTTTCTTCTTAGGCACTTCTACCAACTCTCTCCCATTTGTCAACGTCACTGCATTGACTTGAGTATTTTTCTCTGTATCACTTGGGAGAGCTCGAACAGGTCTAGTATTCTGATTGTTAGCCATTTGCCCAAACTGCCTCTCTAGATTTCAGAACTCTTTGTGCAATTGTTGATTCTCAGCCATAACTTTCTGATTGTCTAGCAAGAGCTTTTTCATGATGTCAGTCAAACTCTCTTTTGCTTGATGTGGGGGTTTTGGTGGCTGATTGTAGGGCTTGTTATTCTGATTTTCACCCCAAGAGGAGTTAGGATGATTCATCCAGTTCGGATTGTATGTGTTACCATATTGAGCATTTTGATTCATCGGCCCTCTAGCTTGTTGCCCCACATAGTAGATAGATTCAGGATTCACGGGGCATATGTCACTTATATGACCTTCACCACATAATTCGCAGCAAGTAGACATTTGTTGCACATGCTACATCTATTGTACTTGGTGCATTGTCATTTTATTCATTTGATTTGTTAATTTTGCTATATCTGCCCTCATTTGAAATCATCAAGCTCAATCACACCAGTTGCCTTTGTTTAAGTGCTCTTCATGGTTCCCTATCTCCTTGCCAATTATTATCATTAGTAGTGAAATTATTTAGCAGGATCTGGATCATCCTATACGGCCTTTCCATGCAACTACCCCCACATGCTGAGTTAAGGTTCATCTTTGATGCCTCGTCCAACCCATCAATGAAAGTGTGACCCCATACCTCATCAGTCCGACAATAATGTGGGCAGTCTCTGAGTAGTTTCTTGTATCTTTCCCAAGCTTGACAAAGAGTCTCACCATCTCGTTCTTGAAACCCAAGAATCTGGCTCCTCAGCGACTTTTTCTTCTTAGTGGGAAAAAACTTGATTAATAATTTCCTTGCTAGATCATCCCAAGTGTTGATTGAGTTTGCGGGCTCCTTTTGCAACCATTCCTTAGCTTCCCCGAGTAGTGAAAAGGGAAACAATGTCAACCTGACCTAATCCTTAGAAGCGTTCAGATAATTGTAAGTGTCCGTAATTTTCAGGAAGTTCTGAATGTGCCTCTGCGGATCTTTATGAGATAGACCCACATACTGCCCTATGGACTGAATCAGTTGTACTATGTATTATTTGAGTTCAAAGTGACTCGTGATATCAGGCTTCACAATAGCCTGAGTCATATTAGCAAGATTGGGCCTTGCAACTTCTATCACCGGATGCTCTTCATTACCTGCCATCTCTATTGGCTGTGGTTGAACTACGATGTCCAAGTGTCTTTCAATTCTAGTTCTAGCTTCGACTTCCCTCCTCACTCTGTGAAGTGTTCGTTCGATTTAAGGATCAAGAGGAAGGAGATTGTTTGCGCTTCTACTCCTCCGCATTCAAGAGAAGAGCTTGTATTATCGCAAATAAAGGAAACTAAAAATTAAAACTTAAACAAATAACGAATTAAATCTTACCTTAAATAAACAATCAATAACTAAGTCCCCGGCAACGGCGCCAAAAACATGTTGTGATCAAACACACACGCAAGTATACATGGTCGTCAAGTAATAAAGTGACTCAAAAGTCGGATGTCGAACCCAGAGAGACTTAGATCAATTGTTAACTAAGCAAACTAAAATCAGTTAATTGTCCAAGGTAATCAAGAGTGATATTTTTCTATTAATCTACTATTGCGGAAATTAAACAAGTAACAACTAATTTTACAAGAATGCAAATGTGTATGATGAGATCTTAATTCAGAGGAGATGAAGTTTCCAGGGTTATGGTTGGTTTATCAATCCTATTAAGTTCACTAATCATACTCGTTAATCCATATTATATATGGTTGCTAATTAACCGGATCGTTTATAAGAATAGCATGTTCCCACAATACTACTCGTATGTCCATAATATATTAATCCTATATTCCTATGGTATTGAGTCTATCATGAACGAATATAATACGGTATTCAATTAAGCAAGATTGTTAGGTATATTCCTATCTTAACCACAAAATCGATACCCGAGCCAAGGGTTCAGAAACAAGCTCTCTTTAATTCTACTCTAATCTAAACATGGCTTTCCCAAGTATAGCATAGATAGTAGGGTTAGTTGCTAGCGATAATAATTCACAAGTTAAAACAAGAATTAAAGAAATAACCACAAGATGATAATTCGAATTAACAGAGATGTAATTAATAAATGTTAATAATCATGTCAATCACAACCCTAGAAACTAGAGTGCTTAGCCACTCATATTAGTAGCAACAATTTTTCAAGTATTTTGCATAACAAATTACAAAGAAAATATGAAGGAATGAAGAACTCGATGATTTTCTCCTCCAAGAATGTTCCCAACGTCTTCTCCCCTTCAAAAGTCACGTTCCTCCTTCACAAGTCACGTCTCTCCTTCACAAAAGTGAGTGTAAAGACTATTTATATGGGATAGGGTTAGCATGGGGTGAAATAATACAAGCCCACTTTGAAACAGCCTTTTTAGGTTAGCTCGTTTACTCTCTCGTGCGTACGCGAGAGTGAACGAGCAAAGTTCTTCTCTTTTTCTTTTTCTTCTAGGTCTCTCGTGCACTTCCATGCCTTTTTGCTATACTTTGCTATTTTTTTTCCAAGCTTTTCCTCAATAGCTCATTCATACTCTCATGTGCATGCGAGAGTGAACGAGCAAAGTCCTTCTTTTGTCTTTTGGTCACGAATCAACTTCTTTTGCTCACATTTCGTCCAACTTGCTCCTACACATAAGAATGCACATAATGAGCATAATTCACTACAAAAACTCATGTAACCTATCGTAACCACACAAGTTATGAGATGCAAGTACACCATAAAAATGTTATTTTTGGTCGTTTATCAGCTTCGGTATTATTTGACCCTGTTTCCACTTATTCATATGTGTCATCATACTTTGCTCGTTATTTGGATATGACACATGATGTTTTAGTAATGCATGTTCATGTATCTACGTCGGTTGGTGATTTTATTGTTATGGACCGTGTATATCGGTCGTGTGTGGTGACTATTGGGGGTTATGAGACGAGAGTTGATCTTTTGCTTCTTAGCATGATTGATTTTAAGGTGATCTTTGCATGGATTGGTTGTCGCAATATCATGCTATACTTGATTGTCACGCTAAGACCGTGACATTGGCGATGCTGGAGGTGTCGAGGTTGGAGTGAAGAGGCTCCCTGGATTATGTTCCAGTAGAGTGATTTCCTATTTAAAGGCTTAACGGTGTCACACCCCGAACCTAGGAGCGAGACAAGCACCCGGTGCCTCACCTAACCTGGCGTACCA